AAAAAAAAAAAAAAAAAAAAATCGGCTAGTGTGCGGTGGCCTTAAGGCGAGGTTTTACCTGAATTTAACTGAAATTTTAGGAAGCTTAAAGAGGGATTAAAAGAAAAAAAAAGGTTATGGAGCACCACCAGACAGTTGAACGCCCCCGAAAAACTATTTACCTCCAAATATACCTAAAAGTCACCAAAAAATGTACAAATCAATTAATTAATTAATTAATAACCTTTATTTACCCTCGGCAGTGTTTAGAGGCTAGTGGGGCCGAGCAAATAACTGAAACAAATAATTCAAATTGAACATAACATTATTAAGAATCCCGACTGGCCGGAGGCAAACCAGTTGGCTATTTACAAGCGTGGCCAAGGATTTGAACTCGGGGCTACCGTGAAACAAATCCAGGTCAGTAGTGGCCAGAGCGGGACTCGAGCCCAGGACCGTTGTATTACGAGTCCGACGCGCTGACCACTCGGCCACGCTGCCCCCAAGCAGCCCAAGACATAGATATGTGGGATGAGCAGAGAGATTCTTGGCTGCTTGAAGCGTAAACGAGATATTTGCATTAAAACCATAATGCCCAGCCAAAATACGGCCTTCATGTAGACTCCCGCCTTAAGTCTTCATTTTCTCGTAAAAAAAAAATTTTATTTCTATTTTTTGTAGGTGAAAAAAAAAAAAATTTCCGGGAAAATGCCACTAAAATGCTCGATTAATGCTCACTAAAATGCTTGAGAAAAATGCTAGCATAATGTATGCAATGTAATGTAACCACCGAGAAACGGTTGTTTCCCGGTGATTCTGAACAAGATAATACACCTTCCGTACATCATTTAGGGAAATGTTTTATTTCTTACATTAAATAACGGGTTCAGCTGAAGCATTAACGATTTCGTTCTTTAATGTAAGAATGTAAGATGACGTATTTAAATATAGGTGAATTGCGTTATAACATTTTTGGAGTACATGAAACCCTACAACCAGTCAATGTGACCCTGGAATGTCTTGCTGACACTTGATGCCACGTGCTCTTGCATAACAACATAATTTATGCGTCGTACTCTTCTCGGCATGGTACTCTATTCGGCATTACAGCTCCCCTTACACGATTTTTTTTTCAGCAGTTTTTGCTCTGCAGGAATTTTGCTCACCCCNCCCCTTCCCCTTAAAAAAAAAAAATGGTCCCTCCTTTATGTCTTTTGGACCCAGTTTCCGAACTTCCAGTCACGCTGTAACGCAATCTAACGATTCTAAAAGTTGAGAGGTCGCGCCATGTCAGAAGGAAGCGAAGGAGACAAGATTCTGCGAGATGCAGTACGTCAAAACCTAGACAAATGGCTCCAGAAATTAGATTGTTCTGGGGATGTTGAGAAAAAGCTGGCATTCAAAATGAGGTTTGTCGAGAAACTTCGTGAATCGCCTGTTGCAGTGGAGACTGTGAGAGCGAACGAACAACATTACGAAGTACCCACGGACTTCTTTAGGACGGTAAGCTTTTTTTGGATTTTTATCCTTTAGTTTGAGTTTCGGCGTGCTAAGAGGATGTAATCGTTATACACGTGAAGAAGTACAATAGTAGAAAGCGAAAACTGGCTTCAAGGTCGCAATCGATTGTAACCAATGTCATTCGATTCTAAATGATGCGGCCGAATACCCGGGGGGGGGGGGGTGTACCCCCTTCGTTGGCCTATATAGGTATGTGCGGCCCCAAAGGGTATGGTTTTTCAGCCGTTTTGGTCATAAATAAGGTATTGATTTTAGCTGATTTTGGCCATTTTGGTCATAAATAGGGTATGGTTTTTGCACTCCAGCCTTGATGTGGGTAAGTTTTTAAGAAGCCACTTGTTCATCATTATCGAAAAGAAAACCAACAAAAGCCCTTCACAAATTATGTTTAAGGTAATTTAACATTGGTCCGAGCCAGGGTACTAATTATAATGCAGGTCTGAAATAGGGTTTTGATTTAAGGGTCAGGTCATAAATGGGGTTTCGAGTTTTTGGTCAGGTCATAAAGAGGGTAGGGAATATCTTAGACTTTGGTCATAAATAGGGTAAGGGTTTTGGGAAGCAGGCCGCACATCCCCACCCAACTTTTCTGGGAGTACCCCGGGCCGAATATTAGGGACAAATTGCCTTAAAATTCTGTTTATAATTTCCCCTATTTATATAATCCCCTCCACTATTGGGACCATCTACCGTGATGTAAAAAACAAAACTGTTTAGCTAAGCCCTCTTCTACTTTTTCTTTAGACTACGAGTAGTCCCTTTTTTGCTTAGTCCAGCAAGTGAGACCACAAGGAAAAAATGGCTGAGTGAAATCCTGGGGGCGAGACGCGCACAAAAAGAGGCTCCTTTTGCATGCTTCTCACGGTTTTCTTTCTCGTCACGCATGTCGTACTAAGTAAAAGAGGGACTACTTGTAGTCTACTTTTTCTTGTTCATCAATGTCATTACTCTCCCAGTGCAGAGTGTGGAACAGTAGTTTTTTCTAAATTTTTCATACGGCTTAGAACCCCCTGTTTATAACTCCTCCCCTCACCTCCCCCCATTTATAAGCCCACCCATAACCCCATATGAAGTTTCATAAGTCCAGGGTTTATGTTCCAAATTTGTGTTATATCTGTCTATTTATTTGTTTGAGATGGATAAATTGTCTCCCAATATAAATTCACCATCTGATGATTAATCCCTGGCCTAGATTTAGTGCATGCAATGTTGATTTCCACCAGTAACCTATGTACACTGACCATGAATAAACAAATTAATATATACTTTAATACATGTAGGTGCTTGGAAAGAGACTCAAGTATAGTAGCTGCTACTGGCCACAAAATATCACAACACTGGAGGAAGGTAAGTGAAGTCACTACTGTTTTACTCAAATGTAGAACTTAAGACCTGTAGGAGGAACCTCCATGTGCAAAGGTCAGGGATGCGTGCTGTCTCACTGAGGGGTGTAATCACGCATTGTGGTTTTACTTAGGGTGTTCAGGACTGAACGCCACCTTTTTTAGCTGTTAAGGTATCTTTTAGGGGTACACTGAAAGGAATAAACCCTGTCATGTGATGTTGATTTTAAAGTGGGTCCAAAAAATCTGGCTAATAAATTATAAATAGACTGCTGGCAGTGCGTTTTTCCTGTTTTCTTTGGTAAACTAGACATAAGCTCACATAGTGCATTCCATCTACAAAGAGAAATGCTCTTGTGGTTCTACCTACATCAGCTAGAGACAATCATTGTAGAACTATTCAAATCCTTTTCATGACTCAGAACCTGCCTGCCATGTCATGACATCAACTTTGAAGGAGGCACTCTTTCCCACACATTATCTTGATGATCCAGCAATTACATCTTATGTTACACCGTTCCTGTTGGGAATTACTTAGCGACTTGTAGTAAGACATTGTGCTGAGGATTCATTTGCATTTTTTAAATATTTTTTCAGTCTTGTAAATGTCCAGCTCATCTTTGATGAGGTAGATAAGTTAATCTTCTAAACAAAACTCATCTTGCTTACTCTTTGATTGATAGCGGAAGACTCCATGCTCAAGCTGGTTTGTCAAAGGGCTCAAGTAAAAGATGGACATTCAATCATGGTATGGACTGTTCTACATGATATATAAATAATAGCCTCCATTTGGTGCGAAAATATGATTGGATATTTGTCCACAGACATTTTCTGTTTCAAGAAGCAAACAGTTTTCCAAGAGTGTAGCTCAAGGAAAACTGTGAGCTTCAAGGAACAGATAATGTCCATGGCCAAATATCCAAGCATATTTTTGCACCAAATGGAGGGTTTGTGTTTAGTATCCTTCAAATATTTTTCGCAATACGCACAGTTTTGAAAACTAGGGAATATCTCTCATTTAGACCAATCATGCGTGAGTGAAAATATTTGATGGATTATAAAGCGTAATATCAGTCATTGTGTAATGCATCTCATTACATCTCATTGCTCAAATAGGCCAACAATCTATGTACGTCGTATTCATGTTTTCGAGACCAGCTTGTTATAGAGCCTAATGTAAAGCTTGTTTTAGTCCAGTCCCAGAAATGCAAAATCCCGTTTGGGTTCCTATGGATTATTTTGTTTAGAGTCTAGTAACTCTAGAGTGCAAGGAGAATGGTGCAAGGCTCTAATCGGTGGAACATCCTTCCACTGACATATGTCTTAAATGTATTATACAAAATTTATGATCTACAGAGAGCTTTTTACAAGCTGCCAATGTTCTGAACAGAAATTCTTATAATTTTTTGATGTTACTCAGGACCTGGGATGTGGTTGGGGGAGTCTAGCACTTTGGCTGTGTGAACATTACCCTAACTGTACAGTGACCACGGTATCTAACTCCAACACACAACGTGAGTGGATTGAATCAGAAGCTGGAAAGAAAGGTTTCAGCAGCAGAATGACATGCATAACATCAGATGCTAATGTATTCAATACTTCCTTGAGATTTGACCGAATCATTTCCATTGAAATGTTTGAGGTAAGGATTATGGGTTGATTAATTCCTATCGTTTAGATCAAACCAGAAAGTATGGAGACAAATATTCTCCAGTTATATGGTGCCAGAGCTAACCCTCTCTTCTTGAGTGACCATATAGACAAGTTAACTTTCACTGTTCCGTTGAAAAAGTCAAAGTGTTGTTTGTAGGTATTTATATGAATCGTGTGCCCAACTCCATGTTTGTTCTGTGTTGTTTGCCTTGAATAGAAGCTTTTTGTTTCATCTGGTTATTTTCTTGCAGCACATGAAGAACTATGAAGAGCTCATGTGTCGCGTGGCCAGTTGGTTGAAACCGTCAGGCTACCTGTTTGTGCAGATTTTATGTCACCGAGAGTTCGCTTATAACTTCAGTACTAAGAAGAGCTCAGACACGGAGTGGATGGCACGGAACTTTTTCAGTGGAGGTACAATGCCCTCTTCTGATCTACTTCTGTATTTTCAGAAGGATTTGTGTATTAAGCAGCACTGGCAGATCAGTGGAAATCATTACGCTCGTACGTTAGAAGCCTGGCTTGTCAAGTTGGACCAGCAAGAAGCCACTGTGCGAGATATCTTCCTGCAAACCTATGGCAGCGATCAAGTGGATCAGCAAGTTTTTAACTGGCGCATGTTTTTTATTTACTGTGCTGAAGTGTTTTCCTTTAGGGGTGGTAATGAGTGGATTGTGGCCCAGTATCTTTTCCAAAAAAACCGCATGCCTAGTAGCTTGTAGACAGATGTAAGTGGGACTGGCTTTGGAACGACGGAGATGAATAACGCTAAAAGTTGTTAATGTGCAGTAAACCGAGAGGTTTTCCACAATAAATGTAACGTTACCTTGGTACATTAGGGGTATGCGTCTGTTATGGACATCTTCAGAGTCTCTGCGTGTTTGATGCGCGGTCTTTTGAATTAATCTCTGTTCAGGGGATGCCTGGGAAGGGAGGGAGCTAGTGCGACATGAGCTCGCCAACGAGTTTTGACGCTCATTGTCACTGCTTCTTTCGGGAATTGTCTAAGCTTACGGGAACGGAACCAATGTTCCTTGGCATAGCGAGTGACAAAAAATTGACATTCTGTGCTTCAAGTTTCATTTAATAACAGTCTCAAATACGTAACATTTCATGCTATTTTTTATGCGTTGATCGCAATAAAATATCGTGAGTTTTTCGAGATGGGCTTTTGGTTCCCCCTATGACGTTGGCTCGAAGTTGTTTAACCGATGTATTGTAGAAAGTAGCGTGTTTAGATTCCGAGTTTGCCTTATGACCGCCGACCTTAGCAGTTCGCGGAAGAAGGGCTGAAGAGGATTTGTACCGTGTAGTGTGATTCCACAACACTGCTGGTGTCTTCGGCTCCTCAATTGGTTGAAGTTCTTGGAAATTCAGAGACGAATAAACAATCATTTGGTCTTGATTAAATTTCAGTTTTGGTAGTGGTGGAAAGATTCTATGCCTGGTCTTTGGCTTATAAAACTTTCCTAGGACTTTGTCGAGAGATCGGTTTATGGAAGTTCCCCATTCTTTTTCCAAATCTGCGGCGTCGGAGTCTTGTGAGAGCTGTTGAGTTCCTCGCCGAGTCAGGGTCGTAATACGCATTATATGCTTTGCTAATCTAGCGTAACAAGGAAATAGAAGCATTAATAACCTGGCATTGTATAAAACGCGGGTTCAACAAAGAAAAAGCGGGCGTGAACGATGAGAAGCGATCAGGGACACGGGAAAACAGACTGCTTTCCTCTGTGTGACATGCCGTCGTCTACCGTTCGTTTAATCTTTTATATTTTCGATCCTCTCTCAAGTTACCGCGTGAATAGGATATATCGCATGCAAGAAGTTACAGTAAAATTATCCTGAAAAAGCTTTTTGTTTGGGGAGCTAACTATACAGAAATGGTCGCCTCTGGAAAGCGCTCTCGAATTAATATATCAAACACGAGAGGTAGAGTTTCATCAGGATATCCAACACCGAGAAGAGAGTTGAAAATACGACGCGCAACGGAATATATTTGACGAAATTCGAGGTGTTTTGGGATAGCCGATGAAACACTGTCTCGAGTGTTCGATATATCTTCTCAATCGAAACAAAAAGTAAGGAGTAAACAGAGAAGTAAAATCGTCAAAATCTATGCTAATTAAGACCGGGTATCCAAACCTCCATCACGGTTGTGATTCTCTTAGTTTTAACTGGATTAGGCCCAGCTCAGACGTCGTGCTTCTGCCGTGCCGAACTAAATTCAGGAATTAAGTTCGACAAAAGCACGGCAGAAGCAAGGCGTCTGAATCAAACTTTTGAATTAAGTTCGGCAAGCAATTAAGTTCGACAAGCTCTGCCGTGCTACACGTCGTTCTTCTGCCGCGCTAAACAAAATTCATAACTTATATTAATGTATTTTGGCGAGATTGCGTTCCCACGGGGAGTTAAGAAAAGAATTGTTACGAGGCATCAGTAAACCCTGAATTTGGTTCGACTCTGGCACGACGTCTGAATCAGAGTTGTTTCCCAGCCGTGCTACAGTCAAACCTAATTGCACTTTAGTTCGACACGACAGAAGCACGACGTCTGAACTGGGCCTTAGTTATTAATTAGCTTGAGAAGGAAGTCCAAAAAGACCGCAGATTTGTTTATTTTATGATCCCTGCATTTCTTTGCAGCCCAAACGTCACACCCAATCCACACACCACGGACATAACCTACAGAACAGCAACAGCCATAATGCTTTCCAATACAAACCGATTATTACTTATGAGTGGAAAAAAACTTATGATGGGTAATCCAAACATACCTCCACTTTGGTCCAGGAGAACTTTGCAAACTTCTCAAAGTTTCAGCTGAAGCGATGCGTTGGATATCAGGCGGAAGTTTTCGCTGTCCTTTGACAATTTTTTCTAAATCCCATAATGTTCGCTGGCCAAACGTACCTGTACGAATAATGCGTCTCTGTTAGAGTTGAAATTCGTCAATACAATCTGGGTTCTATCCGGCTGTGATTGGCTGAAATGCTAAGTTTAATCCGATCAGAGTTAAATCTATGGCCCCGTCAGCACTATGCCGGAGAAGTTTGAAAACGCAGCTATATTTCTACGGTTAGGCTTGCCGTCCGCACTTATCCGGAAGGAAAACGGAGCTTTTCGAAAACGCCTTTCAAATCGGAGGAATTTGAAACGCCTGCTTTGCGTTTTAGTGTGGATGAAAAATATTTTGGAAACGGAGGTTTTCGAGAACGATGACGTGTTGATAATCACGTGATTAACCCTCCAGGGTGCAGCCAAGCTTTTCTAAAGCAGGGGATTGTTGCGTTTTCAAGTTTCTCTTTCTTAATATTCTTTTTCATGGAGATCTTTTGATCCTGTAATTTGCGACAATCCAGGTTTCATCAATATATGGGATTATTGATGGCAACTTGCACGCTGGACGATTTTAAAACAGATCATTGCAATACATGTACTATTTTTTAACGCCACATAAAAGGCAATACTCGTGTCGTGCTGTTGCTGCAACAGCTCTGCGTTTAAAGTTGCCAAGGATTAAAAATCGTCGTTGAAGCATCGTTTCGTGAAGTGTCATCTTTAGGAAATGAATTGCAAAGGCCAAGATACGAACCGCGGTTTCGGTTTTACCGCAAAAGCAACACATTGGTTCCTAGAAAAGAAACAAATCGATCACGCTTTTCATTTGTGAAAAGAAAACAAGACAAATAAATTTCTTCCTTCAGGCAACATGGAACCCTCTTCTTTTATAGCGTTAAGGTGGAAAGCCTTGTCGTAAGTATTTGAAAAAAAAAAACAGAGTGCTGACGTTCTGTTGGTTGGGCGCGCGGCGTATGTTTTGTTACCTATATATCTCCCTGTCTGCGTCCAAAGTCGCACTGACGCGTCTGTGGAAGCCGTGATGATGAACTGGCGACTATCAACAAAGTCCAGACTGACAATTGGCTTGAGATGAGCTCGAAATGTCAGAACCAGTGGAGGAGGCCTGCTATCGATTGATCCTTTTCTGTGGCTATTTCTCCTGTTCACTGATAATAGTTTCCTTGGCAACGCTGTCGCTACCTTCTGATCGCTTGCGTTTATACAGTAACAAGAGATATCCCAAACCTGACAAACAAAATAAGCAAAATCGGAGAGCTTTTATAACTAAACGTCTGAAATAAGAAAACACAAGCACTCATTTTAAACTGCAAAGGTGAAGCTGAAGTCATTGCCTTGACAAATCCTGCGGTGTCGCCAGTAACAAGAATGGTATTAGCGTAGTCAGTTGTCATGGAGATCACAGATTCATGGACACCCTGAGCAGCGGGAAAATAACCCAGCAGTCCGCCGCCGTACACGCTCCATGCCCTGACCGAGCCGTCTGAACCTGTTGTCATCAACGTAGCTGTGGATAAGCTGTTTTCACGCCTCTCTAGGAAAAGAACCTGCACGGAGAAAAACATTTACATTAAATACATTCATAAAGCAGAGTCGACGTTCATTTATCAGCTGACTTTATGTTATGAAAACAGAGTGGAGCAAGTGTATAAATGAGTACCGCTGAATTTAATTCTTGGGGGTAACCCTGCCATGGACTTGAATCCCATCCAGTGGGGAGTAGATTTACTCCTAGTCGCTTAACGCTACGGAAAGCGGGAAACGGTCCGGCTGTATGGACCACTGGCCTGACGCAGACTTTCACTACATTTTCATAACAACATATTTGTCAGCTATTTCTGTACCTTGTCCACGGAGGAATCGTGATAACTTTCTTGAAACTCCAGTGGCAAAAAATCTTGATAGAAAAATTTCTTCTTTTGAGATCCTTCCGGGACAAAAACTTCTTTCTGCATCATTGAGTCGCGCTTTGGCCGCCATATTGAAGGTAGAAATGGTGAGCGGCGATGTTTCTTACTTGATCCAACCTCAGAGCTCCTTCGGTTGCCTTCTCGAAATTTATTCTCTGCGTCGATCACTTGAGAAAGTAAGGCATAATAACAAAAATGTATTGGTGAACAATTAAGACAATATAGCGTTTATGTCTTGGGCCTTTTGGCTGATAGTAGCCCTTGGAATTTTAATACATTTAATATTTGTTTTAAGAACATAAAATTTCCACAGGAAATTATCAGCCCATAGGCCCTCTACGGAAACGCTCTATTGTTTATTAGGTGAGAAATGCCACATAATGGCGGGGTTTTCGCATTGGTCAGTTACTCGTTGCCATCTCTCGCTGCAGTTGACAGTGCTTTTAGGCACTAAATTCAGCAGAACATTGTTTGCTCCTTGTATTTTTGCAGTTAACAGTGCTTTTTGGCGCTAATTTCAGTTATACACCGCGGCACGGTGCAGTTT